TTTTTTTTTTTTTTAGTGTCACATTTCAGCGGTGAGCTTTTTAATCCATCTTTGGGCTCAGGGGCCTGCCAGCATAATTTGGCTAAAAGTAACTGGCAGCAGGTAAGACAAGTCCTAACTTCGGCTCTCAGTGCTGTCTATGAGGACAGAGTCCAAAGCTAGGTTCGGGGTATCTGGATCTTTTGCTGCCTTTTGTTTATAGCTCAGCCCAGGGAGAGCTCATGGCTGATGTTGTGTAGAATGACGCTGGAGAGGGTAAGCGGCCCGTATGTCCAGTGGAGAGATCCCCTCATCACCCGCCCTGTCTTCCAAGTCTTCGCTGTGCTTGGGTTAAGTGATTAGCAGGGCTGATGGGAACTGACACGTAACAGGTGTTTGTTAAATTATCACCATCTCACTTCCCATTTAAGAAAAGCCTCTTCTCCTGAGAGACTCAGTTTAAAAGTTCCAATTAGAGGTTTAGCTCAGTGAAGGGGGAAATCCTTTTAGTAAAAGTGCTGGTTTATCACGCAGATGACAGTTTCCTGCTGAATTGCAGGAACCCCGGGGTTCTGTTTGGGAGACAGGCTTGCAAACAAAACAGAGGAAAACCATCCAGATTTTCTTTCCCTTTTCCTTGAGAGGAAACGTGCCAGTTATGGCTGGGACAGAAGCAGGGGCACGGAGGGGTCTGTTTTCATCCCGTGGGGCCCAGACCTGGGAAGAAATTGAGAACGGGTGCCAAAGCAAATTGAGCTGCTAGCCTCCCCACTCTTGTATTTTTCCTAGAAACATACAAATGGCCCCGAATATTTAGCATGTGTGTTTTTTGACTTCGGAAACCTTATAGTCAAGTGATCCTTAATTCGACCTAGGCAGGGAAAGTGCAGGTAGGCAGTTATATGAGCACCTGAGGTTTGTTCTTTTTCATTTTTAGTTTTGCAAGTCTGGGACCGGAAAAAAAAAAAAAAATCAGATATGTGGCGGTGAGAATGTCCAGAATTGGCCTTCAGGGTTGCTAGTCCTGAGATACCTTTCCCCAGTGCCCCACCTTTGCCTTGCTTGCTGATCAGCATGGGGGTGCCACATGTGTAAGCAGTCGCCAGCACATAGTAAACGCCTGCCGTGACATCCTAAGCGCTTACAGCTGTCATCATCATTCACCTCCCTCCAGGGGGATGAGCATGACCCGGTCTGAGTGATGAGGAACCTGAGCAGGAGGGCAAATGACCCGCCCAGGGTCCAGCCCACCCCCAGTTTGGGTTCTTGGCCTCTCTGCCGACCTTGCAAGAATTTTCCAGCCAAATGCCGTCCCCAGAGAAAGGGGAGGGCTTTTAGAGTTTTTAAGGAGTTGTTTTAGTTGCCTTCTATTCCCCAGAGAGAGAAGAGAGAAGATAGAGCACAAAGCGATTTTTCTGAATTTATTCGGCCCCTGGCGCCGAGGGAATGTATTAGGCCTGGAGGAGCTCACAGACCTGGCTGTTCTTGGATTAGAAAAAAAGCAGCCTGGACGGAGGGTTTTCAGCTGGGAGACACGGCTGGGGTTTGATAGACACGGGCAACCTGACTGCTGGGCTCTGATCATACTCTTGGGCTATTAGGATAATCAGGGTGCTAGGCACTGGCCCTTAACCATTGGTGGCATATGTGGCAAAGAGACCCGAGAGGGCTTCTGTTTCCTTCTCTCCCATCCCTTTCTCATAACCTGTGGGTGAGACCAGCGAGGAGCCTCCCAAGCAGGTAGACAGAAACGCCCTGTGTCTGCCATGGGGATGGCGTCCTCTTCCAGCTCGGTGTAAGCCCAGCCCGTGTCCGAAGGGCAAGAGAGATTTAGAAAGAATGCCCGGATTTACGGCTCCTTTGCCATTTTTAAGGATTCTTTATTTATCTAAGTGATCTCTCCGCCCAACGTGGGGCTTGAACTCCCTGACCACAACATCAAGAGTCGCGTGCTCCACCGACTGAGCCAGCCGGGCGCCCCCTCTTTTGCCATTTTTTTTTTTAATTTTTTTTTTCAACATTTATTTATTTTTGGGACAGAGAGAGACAGAACATGAACGGGGGAGGGGCA